CACTGCCATGAAATACGGCGTAACCAACAGTGCGCCAGATCTGGTGTTTAGCATTGAAACTAACACCGACAACAAATGAACACCACTGTCATGCCATGCAGGTGTAACCAACAGTGCTTAATCTACATCTGGTGTTTGACTAGAGTAGCCTACTTCATTTTCAATCATTTACCCATGTCTCAGTGTTAGATTTAACACTAATACTAACACTAAATCATAGCCCATATAAGTATATCTTAAGTTCCACACTTGTGCCATTGAACTATCGATCAGTAGCTCCATGCTCAAGCTAAACTAAAATCTAAGACATAAACAGTTGGCAAGCCTTTAAGGAGTTCTCCTGGCAATGCATACACATAAAAAAGGCAAAATCTTTTTTCTTAAGAAGACGATAGCAAAGACTATCACGAAATCAACTCAAGGAAATTTCAATACTCAATGGTATTGCCTCGAGAAATAAAGTTTGAGTCATGTATTATGTCACATTTTTCAAAAGGTGATAGCTTATGCAATTGGTTGATTTATTTAAAGCATTTATGATCGTGTTTAACATGGAAGTATGGTGTATTAGTCAAACTAGCATCCATTCATAAAGCAATAGTCAACACCATCCTGGTGTAAATAGCAACTATAATTACATATTACAAATTACTATGTAAGTTAGCAGCTTGTGAAAAGAGAGTAAATTGCAAAACAAAGATGAAAAATTATTTTGAGTATTGTCACTCACACTTGCACTGGCGACCTACGACTTCACATACAAACACTTTTGTTCGTAACAAAAGCATAACAAACAAATACAATGTAAATACAGAAACGGAAAGAAACCTGCCTTCTTCAATTTACATTACACTGATACAAACACAATGAGCTAATTTTTTCATTAAATATAAATATCTCCTGTATATCATATTAATTCTGTATAACGAACATGTACTCATATATACACACAAAACAAGACAGATTTAGGTTTAAATTTCATAAGAAGAAAAAAAATTGCAACATATCATTGAATACCATCTGCACATTTCTCCTACGAACGACAAGACAAAAAAGTTGAACAGAAACGTACACACACTGCCTTATGACATGTCGGAGCAGAAGAAGACGCTTTGCTTTATAAATATTCATGATAAATAATCATTTTCGTTATACACGCATAATCTATTTCTCACTCTTAAGTCAAATGAAGGTCCTAGGTTCAAACCATCCTCGACAGTGTCGAAGGAACAAGAAGACCTGCAAGAGGTCTGAGGGTGCGACCAGGCAACCTCGTTCTAGTCGGGCATTATTTAAAGTGTTACTGTTTATCAAATGAACTAAAATTACTCTTTCCTAACCACATGGAAATACCATCTCAGTCTACCGATGGACCTACTTATCTTCTGTGAGATTTTCATCAACCCTACGGATGGGAGAAATCTACGGTACATTCTTCTTTCTATCATGTTTAGAGGTAGTGTACATCCACCTAATCAATCCTTATCTTGACTTGTTCAACACGATGTACACTTGATGACTTCATCGCCCAGATATCATTAGTGTACATCATACACTTCCTTTAAAACGCATGCATCATACGCTTTCCTTTAACTCTTTTAGAGAAACTGCTTAACCGTTTCCAAACCAACTCCAGACCGACCAATTAGTTGAAACGTGAATTTCTGTATGGTTTACAATCATTCTGGGCCCCATCTTACAAATAGTTGATATTGATCGCAACTACGTACATAAGAGATAGAAGACTGCAAACTTGCAATTGATTTGGATCAATCGCAACTCTTTGTTAGATGGGCCCCTGGTGTTGGGTCTCATATGGATTGCTTAGGTATGAATGTTAATAGTTACAAAAAGGAGTTGACCTTAAAAATTAGTAAATATTTAGCACGCGATTTGAAATTGCCAGAAAACTTCAGAAACTTGGCACGGCACACTGCTCTCTTTAATAATGAGTTCTTTGGTCTATTTTTGGATTTGTGGTGGTAAGGTAAGGTAGGGTAGGCATTTTGTTGTGGATAACCATTGTCTGGAGGACACGACACTTCCTTCACATTAGCGCAGCACGATGACAGAGGCAGGAGGCAGGTAGACAAGTACATTGACATACACTTAAAGAGGAGGTCTAGTTCTGGTGAAGATGGAAAATAATTTGTGAGCTTTTTACATTCCTTAAATTTTAAGAGTGGAAGAAAATCATAGGAGACATTACTTATGTACAGCATTGCTCTTCAAATGCCCTCATCTTTTTTAAAGGTAAAGACAAGTTTTGGAAACGCCCCCCTCTCAAAAATGAAATGGAAGCTCTTATTACCAATTCAAGTGAAAGAATGTGTTTTGACTAATACGTGATGATACAAATTTTGCCGGGAAACCGCCTACTAATTGATATATTTGGTAAATTAATTATCTATGTGTCGCATAGTCCCATATACATCTTTCTGTGTACAGTGCTTGTAACTTTACCAAGACTGGGCCAAATTTCTTATCATTTTGATGATTCCAGAACCTTGCAGTACACACCAATACTTATATGCTAGAATTTCGACCTTTTCTGATCGATTCCACAACGTTTCTTTCACAATGCAATCGCATGACCAGAACTGGTCTATAACTTTAAGCACAAAATCAACATAATGCTCTTCGTATTTGCGTAGGGCCTGTGTTGCATGTAGCTTCTATTTAAAACCCACTTGGGGTTCGATTACATCTTCTTCTTCTTTTTAAGTCCTGTGGTTTACAGCGGCATCGTAAGAGGGTTCAATCTTTAGACTTGACTCAAACTTCCAATTTCCTTTTACATTATGTTCCTGCATTTAGTACCTGCACACTGCGGGATGACATGATAATCACACCAAATCAAATTAAATTATCACAAACATTTGTTGCCAGATTTCTTTCTGTATAGTCCAAGCATTGGTTGAATCACAACTGAAGGCTGAATCATGCATCATACTAACATATTCAGAATAAGTTCCCCAGAATACTACTGTTTATTTAAAGTTTAATTTGTCTACATCTATACCCATTCTCTTTCCTCCCCCTCCCATAAGTTTTTCTCTTTTCCTTAAAACACATTTCTATAGATTCCAGAAAGATTATCTTAAAATATCATTCTCATGTTTTACTAGAACATGTTTGAAAACAGCACAGTTCCATACATGCCAACATTTGAAAATCAGAAATCTGTACAAATTATGCTATTTAAAAAAAAAAGAGGAACAATCCTAACTCTCCTATTCAATACTACAGACAAATTTGTACAGGAAGAGGAACACCTGCATTAAAATGATAATTATCTTCTCCCAAAAAGAGGAATGTTCCTCTTTAATCTGAACAGTTGGCATGTATGCAGTTCTAAAGTACAGCGTTTCTTTCTTTTACCCGGTATTCTTGTATTTCTTTTCCTAGGCACATGAATTGACTCCACTCTTGCCAAAGCTTTATATTTTCAAGCCACATTCACTCCTACAATTTCCTGTTTTTAACCTTCACCATACATCAATGTAGTTCGTGTCCTAATTCTATGTTTACTATTTAAAGCCAGATATAACATTAGTTGTTTGCAACCAGATAAGCCCATGTTAAAGCCAAGATAAAATCCAAAGCCCCTGGTAAGCTCCTAAGCTGCTTTAAATGTTTATTGTTAAGATATCTCAATTAAGCTCTATTAGTACATAATGTTCATTGTTTTCATGTTGATAAGCAAAATACACAACAATGTTAATTGCTTGCCCAATATTAGACCCTCTATAACCAATTACAAGTTTGTTTGCGTGTTGCTTTAAAGCTCTGTACAAATCTATCACTTAGACAAACATTCTGGCAGTTCATGGAATTCACAAACACATTTTCGCAAAGAAATTATTCAAATATATCCCAACAGTGCCCAGAATTAGGAGTAAAATCATATTAAAACCCTGTCAGTTAAGTAGATGGAAATAAAGACCAAGAATAAAAATGGTATTCATTCATGATGGCTAATTGTAAAGGGATAGCGAATGGGAGGGAATGACCAACTTTAATTCATTTTAAAAACTAACTATTTATGCTAACACAATCCTTTAAGAAAATGCAGCATTTCCTGTGTCAAACATACACCAAAAAAAAAAAAATCATAAAGGAAAAAATAGAAGTTGTGTTTGGTTCAAAGCACGGTTGAACCTCACTCAATGGCTGCCCCAAAGTACCTGCTAATCTAATTTTCACCAACTGTGTCACAAAAATAAGTAATCAAATTCAGAAAAGTAAGCTGTTTGGCTTAGGCTTCGGCTCAGGTTGGACATGTGTTTGTTTGAGAGTTGACAAATCACAACTTTCTGCCAAAACATCTGACAAAATTTATTCCATATTTACCACCTGCTTCAGCACTTGTCCATGTTCAAGAACAATTGTTATCGTGAGAATTGAAGTTATCCTGAAGAGGCACATTTAAAGGCATCATTTAACAATTTTTAATCTGAGATGCATGGCCCTACGTGTTATCAGTGTCTATGATATGGTGTAATATTGAAGCCCTAACAAAAAATCGCGCTTCAAAATGATCAAGAAGTGCCTCAAAAAGTAAAAATCTTTGAGTGGCCGGTTTTACCATACTTGTTTTCTCCAACTGTGTTAGGAAAACCATTAGGAAAACGCAAAATTTGGTTTCGATTTCAAATCATAAATATCTTGATAATCAGACAGGCGATCAGCTTGTAAAAGTCATGGGGTTCCTGACTGACCTTAAGGTTTATAATTATCATTGCAGCATGAGCTAAATCCATGATTTTGTTTCAGAATCTGAGACAAAGTTACCGGATCCCTTTAAAGGAAATAATACTATTACTACTACTAATAATGTCTTGTCTACACAGGATAGCCTCATCAGTATTAATGTTAAACTCTCAGAGGGAAAATCTGTTTTTAAAAATAATTTTGTACTATTTGTATTGGAGGTTCCATACAGGTAAACAATATTGAAAATTCAACTTCAAAAACCTGTATTAATGTAAAGTGATATATTGGAAGGTCAAGTTCTACCGATCTGTGAGATTACTTAGTCAGTGCACTTTTAGCGGCCTTGATGTGAATTTATTTCATCGAAAAGGAAAAACAGTATCCCCCCTCCCTTATAATTCTATTTCTATTCAATTTAAAACTTCTTGGGTGGTCCCTCAAACAAGTGCACATTCCCATCCTCTCAATTTCTATAAATCCTCCATGTACATGTAATATATATATATACCTGACAGTAAGGTAAATGAATGTACAAACATGAAAACACATATGTGGGACATTCAATAAATAGACACAAAATATCAAAATCCCACAAACAAATCATTGATACACATGTAAAGACGAAGATCATTCCACTGGCATGAATATTCAAATATCGCCATCACATACATCAATTCTCTCTCTTCTTCATATTTTTCTTCACATTTTTGCATTTATAACTGTAAATTACACAACTTCAGATTGCTCGATCCAAATTCTGGATTAATTTGATGTAAATCCATTACAATATCTCATTTATTATTAGTGACCTTATGTTATTGAGATGCTTTGATAGAAATTCATTATCAAAAAAAAATCTACATTACAAAACGTTTAATGGCATTTATATTGATAAAACCACCACCATACTCTATCCATCTTCCAAAGGTGGAACCTACATGTATCCTCATCCACCAACCTCTTCTACTTGCAATCTTCAAAGTGCTATGTGGCCTATCTCCTGATACTCCTTTGAATTTAACCATCACTACAAGCCTCACTGCTGTTTAACTTGAATTCCATATTAACAATCCCAACTATACCTCTACTACTACTAATAACAATTTTGTTAACTTCAGCATCAGCACTGTTCTTCTTGAGTACCCTGCAATTATCATTACACCAGTGGTTGCCAGGGTCTCATTTACACCTGGGTGGAGAGCGGCAAATGTGGATTAATGCCTCACCGAAGGACGTTAGTGCCTGGCTGGGATTCATACCCTGAACCTTTGGCTTGAGAGTACAGAAAATAAACCACTACACCGCAACAATTTGATAGTTAAGTAGCTCATCCTGCCGATATCTACAATTTTCATTTCAAATCAAATTCAAACCTGAACAGAAAGGCCGCTCAAAGGAGACACAAAAAAGTTGTCTTTATATACAGGTTTCACTTCTCACATCTCTTGATGCTAAACACTGTTTCGATAGGGGGGGGGGGGGGGAATGTGGTCTTTATGGATGGGTGGTCTTTCTATACAGGTGGTTGCTACAGCATGTTTGACTGTATAGTACCTGTGCATACACTATTTTACTTCATTCAATTGTACGGCATGTATCTAGAAATGTGTTAGTTGAAATTTTGGTCCACAGTTTTTCCTGCACATCTGCTTTTATATAGCATAAAGTTTTGGCCTACATTTAGGTCTAAGTTTGGTTCAAAGGTTTCATTCAATCAGAAATGACATCAATATATCACATGCTTTGGTTTGGTAAAGGCATTTAAAGTCATATCAAACAACAAGAATTTATATTCCCTTGATTTACCTTGTATAATATCATCAATCAAAATATATATCTTTTTCATAAATCGCAAAAATTGCAATCCATAAACATGTATGAACATGAATAGAAGATTGCACTGTTATGAATACTAATATAATTACTAATTTACAAAAAAGGGAAAAACTCAGGAGCAGTTTGGGAGGGGGAGGGAGGAAAATCTGCAGATTCACCTAGCTTTCTGGACAGTGAAAAAAGTTGAAAGACATACAGTAGGATTAAGGTTGCACCATGTGAGAGAGAGGGGGAGGATTGGGGAGTCCTGAAAAGGACTGTTTGTGTAGTCCTGAAAAGAACTGTTGGTAATCTTTCTTGAGCTTAAAGTTCTAAGGAGAACTATAGCGCCGGTCGGAGAGGTTGGCTCAACGTTTTGAATCCGTCATCTGGAGTGGGAAATCCTTCCCCCTCCCTCTCACATGGTGCAACCAAAAACCTACTGATATCTACATCACCATGCAAGCCGATACTTTTAAGCAGCATCTAAGTTGAAAGACATTTTTTTTTACGAAGGGAGAAAGGGACACATTAAAACTGCATTAAATGCACATGCACATATAATCAAAAGAAGATGTCAAATATATTGCACCTCCCAGATGAAAAAAGGAAAAAATAGCTGGAAGGTTCGCTCAAAATTGTACATACAAAAACATAGACATAAAGTATCATCAGCAGGCTTAACTGCTTGTGTATACATCTAATCATTTGAAAAAGATCTACACAAAGACTTTGGTGCCAGGCAAGTCGCAATTCAGGTAAATGTTTCGGTCACCAATTTTTAAAGCAATGTAGTCCCATCCTTGATGTTTGGTGTTGGTAAATGGGTACCTATTCCAATAGCTTGGAGTAGCTGGGAGAGCTGAAGCGCCACCGTGGTAGCTCAAGGATATAGAGAGGTCATATAGTCCCACTCATGAGGTTTAGTGTTAGTAAATGAGTACCTATTCTGATAGCTTAGAGTAGCTCGGAGGGCTGAACCGCCGTCGCAGGAACTTGAGGATGTAGAGAGGCACGTTGCTGACGAGGGTGATGACCAGAACTTTCCACCAGAACGTGAAGGTGGTGATAAAATCACGATCTGTGAATGGAAGAGAACGGAAAGAGAGAGAGAGAAAAATGAAAGGTCATATACAACAAATTTTACAGAGGAGGTCAAGGACTAGTAAAGGTGAAAAAGTTTTAAAAAACAGCTTGAGAATTGAATTTGTGACCTTTCCAATCCATTCTCTACCAGTTTGGAAGTATGTCATTGTAGAATGTGAGAGATGGCAGTCCATGTCTGCACCGTGATGTAACAAGGCTTTGACTCGCTTGGAGATATTACATATTTCAATAACATAACAAAGCCTACACTACTACTATGATCATCACTGAATAAACTTACCAAAGTATCCAGTAAAGATGAACATGGAAGCGATGTAGATGACAATGCTGATGGGATGGTCTCTGTCATGACCCTTGTCCAATGACACTACAACTACCAACAACTACTACCACTAACATAACATAACCACCATTGCCACAATCATAAAGATTCCATATTTTTTCATGACCCATTAATTTGAAATAGTTTACCAGATGACATAAAACAGTGCAATACATTGAAACGCTTCAAATATATGTATGAGGGTTATTTAAGCGGAACAAAATGAAATTGTCATTTATTATGTAGAATAAAAATTCAAGTTGTAACTTCCTTCTTCTTATCTTCTCTCTCTTCTTATCTTCCTGTGACTGCCTTTACCTTATGTTATCTTTATCTTTCATCTGTCCTCTGTTGGTGTGAATGTATGTACTATTTTTTTAATATAAAATAGGTTTGTATCTTGTTTATGCTAAGTATTTATTTGGGGATCATTTTCATCAAGCCAATTTTGGCTTTCATGATTCCCCACTTCCTTTTATCTTATATTGATAATGAACAAACATGCATACTTTTGATGTTTTAAAAAAAAGAGTGAAATAAATAAATGAAAAGAAATGAAATGAAATAAATAAACTTACCAAAGTATCCGGTAAAGATGAACATGGAAGCTATGTAGATGACGACGCTCATGAGCTCCGCGATGACCATCGGCCACTGCCACGTCCGGATGGTCAAGGCCACCATGAGCAGCTCGGTGATGATGAGGGCGGTGAACGTGATGGAGATGATGTGAAGGAACTCTCCTTCGAACAGCCAGAGGGCGCCATACATGATGATCCCACCCTGGTACACGCTGATCAGGATCCAGACGAAGAACATTTTCCAGGACAGCATCCGACCCTGGTGGTGGAAGGAAAGATACGATGGTGGAAAGGGTGATGACACGAGAAAGAGAACAAGACAAATGAATATGAGACTAGAGCTTCAATTTCACACAGTATTAACACTGATTAAGGATCCAGACGATGAACATCTTCCAGGACAGCATCCGACCCTGGTGGTGGTGGTGGAAAGATACAATGGGGAAAAGGGTAATGACACAAGGAAAAGAACAGGCAAAAGAATACCGGTATGAGATTAAAGCTTAAATTTCACACAGCATTAACACTGATTTAGGATCCAGACGAAGAACATCTTCCAGGACAGCATCCGACCATGGTGGTGGAAGGAAAGATACGATGGGGAAAGGGGGATGACACGAGGAAAAGAACATACGAATGAATACGAGATGGAGCTTCAATTTCACACAGTATTAATGCTGATTAATATAAAATTAAGAAAGGCAAAATTGGCATTCGCAAAATTGCATTAAACCATATCAAAATAGTTACCTTTCGTACCTCTAGACATTAAAAGAGAACAACAGAGAGAGAGAGACATTATCCCAGAAGTGGAAATGTACAATACATGTACTTCAATTTGTTTCAAAGAAAGAATTCTTCTGAACCTCTTGTATGTATGTTGCATTTTCTCATTCCCCCCATTGCATTAACCTTTTTCCACTCTATATTACTTCTCTTACTATTTTGTTTTACATGTACTTGTCTTCCCTCCTTCTTTTTCCCCCTATCCACTTTTTTCTTCTTCTCATTTTCCTCCTTACTCTCTTTGTTCTTTTTCTTGTAAAAACCACAGAGAGAAGACAGTGGTTATGTGCATTGCATCATAATTCGCTGACCCCAGATTTGAATTACTAATCGATGCGTGCACAGGTCTGTCTCTCAGTCAGCAAAACTTGTCCCACCAGAAAATGCTTCAGGGGGGTGTTTCACAAAGACCCTAAGTTGAAACTTATCTCTAAGTTGGACTTAAAAATTATGGAAAGCCGTTAGCATCTATGAAAATATTGATACAAATTCTTTATTTTTTCTATTATCAAGGAGATTACATGTTCTTGATGTGGAATTTATAAAAAGTCTACAATACTTGAATTTTGAATACTTGAATCCAACTAAGAGTTAAGTTCGACTTAAAATCTTTGTGAAACACTCCCCAATTCCTCCAAAAAGTCCAAAATACTTGAATTTTGAATACTTGAATCCAACTAAGAGTTAAGTTCGACTTAAAATCTTTGTGAAACATTCCCCAGCTTGCCTTCGTATCTTGAGGGTAAGGGAAATTTGATCATGAGAATTCCATAAGGCGATAGGTTCAGAGCACAGTGCTGTCCATAAGACCTTTATAGGGTAAACACCTAAATGCAGACCTGCCAACCTCTGGAGTTAAAAACTGTATTCTTTAGTGTCAAAAGTTGTATTTTACTGACAAAAGTTGTATTCTTGAAAATAAACATGGATTGTTAAGCGGATCAATGCCTCTTACAGTTTCTACCTACAGGAAGAATTTTTTTTATTGATCATTGGTTGAATATGCATTATTTCGTCATGACTGGTGTGTTCGATGAACCAATAAACATCCCCAAATTGCCGATGTGAGATGCTTGTAGAATACTTTACAGGACAGAATGGACATTATGCCATTGAAAATGGCGGACGCACACCCAAAATATTAATTAAAAAAAATATGGAAAAAAAAGATATTTTATTAAGGAAAATCGTACTGTCGTATTTGCTTCTAAAAATCATACTAAATACGACTAAATCGTACTGGTTGGCAGGTCTGCAAATGGTGCCAGTCCCAAATGAGAACCCCCTTCTATTAGCCTTCATTAAATGCCATGAAAAAACCTGCCTTTTAAAGGTATAGACCAGTTTTGGAAACGCCCCCCTCTCAAAAATGAAATGGAAGCTCTTATTACCAATTCAAGTGAAAGAATGTGTTTTGACTAATACGTGATGATACAAATTTTGCCGGGAAAACGCCTACTAATTGATATATTTGGTAAGGCTGATAGATATTGCGTAGTCCCATATACATTTTCTGTGTACAGTGCTTGTAACTTTACCAAGACTGGGCCAAATTTCTTATCATTTTGATGATTCCAGAACCTTGCAGTGCTAGATGATCAACCTTTTCTGATCGATTCCACAACGTTTCTTTCACAATGCAATCGCATGACCATGACTGGTCTATACCTTTAACATTCATCTTACCTTTTGTAAGTCTTTATATAGCTCAGGGTATTTGATGGCTGTCTCGGGTGTTACGTCTTTATCTATCACTAACAGGAAAACAGGGAACATTGTGTACACCGTCACATACCTGGATAAAAAAAACAAAATAAGAAACTGTGTCTCAGTATTCATTACTAGGAACTCATTACTTTCATCATCAATATTATCACTATCATCATCATCATCACCACCATCATCATCATCATCATCATCATCATCATCATCATCATCATCATCATCATCATCATCATCATCATCATCATCATCATCATCATCATCATCATCATCATCATCATCATCATCATCATCATCATCATCATCATCATCATCATCATCATCATCATCATCATCATCATCATCATCATCAACATCATCAACATCAAAAGGAGATGGGATTGATCTATATTCTTAGAAAAACATCTTGATTTTTTATTTAGACTTTCATGAAAGTTCCACTAAACAACTATTTAAAACAGATCAATGAAGATCTATTTGATGAATAACATCTTAATTTTATTTCGACTTTCACTAAAGTTCCACTTAACAAGTATTTGAAAAATAAATCAACGCAGAACTCAGTTACATCACATTTTAGCATTGCCAATTTGAAGAGCATGACTTACCCTACAGATCTATATTCTTAGAATAACATCTTGATTATATTTAGACTTTCATGAAAGTTCCACTAAACAAGTATATAAAACAAATCAAATCAATGCAGAAGTCAGTTACACATCTTAGCATTGCCAATTTGATGGGCATGACTTACCTTACAGATCTATATTCTTAGAAAAACATCTTGATTTTAGATAGACTTTCATGAAAGTTCCACTAAACAAGTATTTAAAACGAATCAATGCAGAACTCAGTTTATACAACATCACATTTTAGCGTTGCCAATTTGATGGGCATGACTTACCAGGGGTGATAGTGAGTACTAAAAACCTTGAGTAAAAAAAAAAATTTAAAAGAAAAGGATTCAGGGAAAAAAATGGCATCTAACAAAGTTCCCCGCCTTTTGAGTAAGAAAATTGGAAAAAATCAGGAAAATAAAGGAAAAATAGGGAAAAAAGGGGAACAAATCTGGAATTTAAAAAAAAAAATCAGATAATTATCAGGCCTGTGCAGAACTCAGTTACATCAAATCTTAGCATTGCCAATTTGATGGGCATGACTGACTTACCCTACAGAGAGCACGCCCTGATACAGAGCTATGGAGGAGAAGTAGAAGAGAGAGGAGAAGATGACCTGCATGGTGGAGATGATCAACCCACGATGCATCACAAAGTGACTCAGCGAGGCAGAGCTCTTGTAGTTGTTGCGACCGTGGACCATGAGGAGACGCCCCAGGTAGCGGAAATGGGTGAGAGAGAAGTCGGCAGCCAGCGAGGCTTGCTTTCCCTCCTGTAAATTTGACAGAAAAAGAAAGGTATAATATCCAGATTTTCAAGTTCTTTGACAAGTATGTGTATACTCATCTTTGACCTCCAATGGCAGAAGACAATATGACATACCTTTTAATAGGACAATAACGACGACAAACCTAAAGAGGGAGAGAAGGAATAAAAGATTGGGACATGAGATCAGATAGAAAGGGATGATAACAGATGGGAACAAAGATATAGTGTGAGAGTGTTCAAATGCTATAAAGTAAAATTGGTTGAAGATGTGGCTGACTGCACTTACTCTATAATATATTAATTAGGATGTAGAGTATACTATATAACATTGTAATTCAATCAGTGTAGGAATTTTATCCTCTTAATGCCATACACATTTGTGCAATAATAAACATGTCGTCTAAAACAAACAAGAGAAGGCGATACTTGGAATCATTATGGAAGGAGTTTAATTGATATTTGAAAGACTTCTTTAATAGTAACTGTAGAAAAAATGATATGCTGGTCTGCAAAATGTTCTGGTAGTGAAAGAATTAAAAAGATTGAATTACCTTTCCAATTAAACCGACCCCGGCATTGGCTGCTTGAATCATGCTTACATCATTTCCTCCATCCCCTAAGAAGGGAGAGAAAAGAAAGCACAAAAACAGATGGAATTTATAATTGCTTTAATGATTGTTTTATGTAGCGTACTAAATACTAAAAATATATTCAATTCTTTAAACTTCTTCTGATGTTTTGACACACATGTACTGCTCCCACTGTAGTTCGTATTTATAGTATAAACTGTCATCACAATGAGCAGGGGTTATCTACACACTACTCCCCAGTACTTTGATTATTGTGGCTGCATACATTAACATACATCATTTCACTTACCATATTTAACACACTCCATAATTTCCTGAATCTAAATCATTATCATCATCAATTTTATGAATGGTTGTCATCTTCATCAAAGTCATCATTATCTTCAACACTATCACCAAAATCACCAACATCATCAGCATCACTATTGTCATTTCCTTGTTTTTATCTTCACCACCTCCATCACCACCATCATTATCATTATCATTATCAACATCCTCACTACCATCATAGGGACACTGATTTTCCGTTTCAAAAAATGGCCTTTTCCGTTTCAGAAAATCTGGAATTCCGTTTCAGATGGGATGAAAAACGGAAATTCCGTTTTGCCATAGACTTTGTACACATGAAAAAACTAAAATTCTGTTTACATAAGATTTTCATTAAAACATGAACTTGCAGGGTACAAATGTACTATTAAAGCCGCCACCTTTGACAAGCCACTGATAACCACTCAAATACATACGGACGGGACTGGATAAACTTAATGCAAAATACTAGTGAAAATATATACCCTTACGGGCCCTAGAGTCTAGGCTAGACCTACGAAAAATTATCAAATGTTTAAATTTACCAACTTCAAATTCGAACTTAGACAAGCAGACTAAAGTCAGCGGAATGTGTCAGAACATGACATATTCCTGACGGAAAGGATGAGTACCGACGTCAACGAAAACATTTCAGTCTTGGCTGTCATGTCCGCGATCGATCGATTTTAGGCGCACATGCCAGCCCCTTTTTCAAACTGTACAACAGCGTGTGTACAATCTCGCCGCAAGTAGCGCCCGCTGCTGGCGTGTGTGTGCCTAGTATTACGTCTACGTAACACTAGGCGCCTAGCTGGCATAATAGGATCGTTTCACTGCTATTTGTACCGTGTATTGTGTCACGATCTCTATTGGTCCAGCGAAACAAAATGGCAGCGCCCGGTCTCTCCTAAGAATCTGACGAATATCGCTAAATATTCGGAATTATTAACCATGATTTGAGGCCCATAGTTTTCACTGCATAACGAGTCACAAAAATAGTGTAAGTTTTACGATTTTCTTCTTGAAAAATGAAAATTTTTGAGGTAAAAGGGGTTTTCCGCGATTTTCCGTTCAAAATTGCATTTTCCGTTTCAAATGGTCAATTCCGTGAATTCCGTCCGTTTTCCGTGATCGCGGAAAATCAGTGTCCCTACCATCATTTTCATCATAAATGTAATTACCATCATCGTCATTATCATCGTCATTATCATCGTCATTGTCATCGTTATTGTCATCGTCACACTGCCATTTCCACTGCAGCTCATATGACATCACCATCCCTCTTCATCTTCCCCACCTTATCCCAGTCTCCCCCTTCCAATCCTCTTTCCCCTTACCTATTGCACATGTCCTCTTCCCTGTATGTGTTTTGAGAAGGTTCACTATGTCAGCTTTCTGGGTCGGTGAGCATCTACACACCACCACTGCTGGGCACTGGCAAGCTAGCTCGATGAATTCATGCTCATAGAACTTGAGACAGACCTGTTTCAGCATAAAAAAGACAACTTAATCATCTGTCCTATAATAATCTTCACCAATCTCCTAATAAAGCACTGGCAAGCTAGCTCAATGATTTCACGTTCATAGAACTTGAGACAGACCTGTACCAACATTACAAACAATAAAAGTCAACATTCAGTTTCATTCCATCATCATCTCTTTCCCTTTCTCCATTTATTTCATTTTCCCACCTCAATTTCTCTAAATGCCCCATTAGTGGATTCTTTTGAGGAAAGGAGCCTTTTCACTCATGCTATACCACATGGTGATACTGAAAGCCTAAATTGTAAATAACAATCGTCACAGAACAACCAGTATTTATCTTCAAACATTTTCAATAATTTCTCTAAACAAAGTGCAGTATGTAAATGGACCACTCGTTTAGGATCCACTCACAAATTTGCACTCAGCATTTTCTTGAATCAGTTAACACATGGACATTCAAAAGCTTCTCAAAGTGTCAGCGAAATGACTACATCAAAACCGAGAATAAAGACAATATTTGCCATTTCTAGATGGCTTTTGAGAGCCAGAAGGGAGTTAACTCTGTGTTCCAGTATATGAGTTAATGCCCTTCTGGCTCCAAACAGACGGTATAGTGACTGGTACGAACAGACCATCTATGTAGAAAGACCACACTTTTGCATCGCTAGAACAGTCTTTGTATACAGGTTTCACCGTATGTCCATCTGACTTACATCTAATGACTCCCCCATGATGACGAGGGCACAGTCACTCTTTCTCCTGAACGAGTTCAATTCTGAATGGGCTTCCGAACGGTTGCTGACTTTCTTGAAGACAAAGAGGGCCTGTCTCGTCGACACCAGCTTGGCGCTCTTGGCGATGCAGCATGCCGTCTCCAGCTTGTCCCCGGTTAACATCCAAATCTGGTGAAAAGCAGAGAAAAACACTTATTATTCCTTAAACATCATCTCATTTAATGTCAAATAAATTGTGAATAGAAGTCCCTCTGGTTATATCCATATAGTTGTGACTACTTAAAAAAAATCCCTACATCTAAGTATAAAATAACAATGGAAATAAAATACATCATAAAATGAAAAGGGTTTATTCTTGGCAAAGCAAGTGATACCTTGACTGTGGCCAATACTGTAATGTTTGAGGACTGTGTCAATAATAATAATAGAAACATATGACATAAGTGAAATACACACAGTGAATGAACCACCAGTTGGAATTAAACCGAAAGATGCAGCTGGTACAACGCTCATTGATCATTCTCCATTGCAACAAAAAAATTATTTTAAAAAATCTGATAACAATGAACCTCAATAGACAGATAATTTTTCATTCACTAGAATTTCCAATGCTTTCATTCCAAATTATCATGTGGTTAATTTTAAATAGCTTAAAGGGGACGTAAGCATGGCAGATACTGGTTAACGCCATCTACGACTTCTTTTGGGCAACTGCCCGTAAACGAATGGACTTGATTAATGGTCAGCATTCGCGAAATAGACAGAAGTTATCCTCATGCTTCAGTTTCGCGTATGTTGCACGCACATGAATACTGCGGTCGCGTCGTCCGTAGTCGTATTATACCCGATTGGCCCCAGGTCAGGCCACGGGAAAGACATGTAGTCTCGTCATGCTACAGCCCCTTTAACATATTTCATCTAGTGGAAGTCCCGTCTAACCTTGATGCCAGCGTTCCTGAGCATCTCCAGGGTCGGCCTGACATCTTGCTGTAGTTTATCCTCCACCCCAGTCAGACACAGGAGCTCCAGGTCCCTCTCGATGCTCTCTACCACCGCCGCTACCTTGGATGCCCTCTCTGTTACACTGAGCTTGGCCTGGGTGTAACGATTCTGGAAAACAAAGTTGGATAGGATGTTGAATGGAGACCCCGTGTAGAGGAGAGTCACAAACTTTGCACGTTAAGAACCCACTGCACTATTCGTATATGTAGGGGGAAACCCCGGTGTAGTGGTCCACCTGCACACCCCAATCAGTTATACCGGGAGGAGAGACCCTAGGGTCTCAGTGATCCAGTTCGCTTTTCTCCTCCCAGGCTCAGGTGACGCCAAATACTTAATAATAATAATAATGAAATTATTGGGAGTTATGAACTTCAGAATTTTTCAATAATCAAAACTACTACAACAAACTTAAAATCAGTATAAAAAAAAAAATAGGTCAACAAAATACTGCCCCAAAATACACTTTTGGTATTGGTATACCACTCTTGTGCTTCCACATTTTGAAATTGCATAGAAAAAAGTATACTCTTTCAGGAAATGCTGGAAACTAAAATTTGACCATCTTAACCATCTTAACCAAATACACCTGTATAAAGCTTTAATTGAAAACCATACCATGCACTTTATGTTGGTTTTGTGATGCGGGGTCACATACCGGTATATAAGATTAAAAGATTTTACTTCCAACAATCGTGATTCAGGATTTGAAAAATTGTAATTCAGAATCATAGCCTTTCAATGGATGACTTAAACATTTCAAATTTGATATGCAATAAGTCACTTTTTGACAATGGCATCAAAACATCAAAAAGCACAGATAGCAATGTTTTTAAGATTTAACAAGAATGCCTGTTGATATCTGACATGGTAGTCTGGCGATTTTATTTTAAGGATTGAGGAATCAATGAGGAATCAGAAATATATTTACATGTAATCTTTATCTATTTATCTTAATTTATATTTCACAGAGGAATTCCAAACATATGTACATAAATATATTTTTGAAAATAAAGAATCATAAATTGATTTTACCTCAAAGTCTGCATACTGTTCTTCTGTAAGTATCCTCTTGCCGACAACTAGAGTTCTTAACCCTTCCCTTGCCATGTTGTCACTCTGTGGGCAAGATAATGAATAATGATAAATAATAATAATTATATCTATATATAGTGCAATTGTATAATCATACTCTACTGCGCTGTGATGAAAACAAAAGCCAAACAGTGCTACTTTACAGACACACAATAAACAAAACTATTCAAAAGCTCCTGAAAACAAATGCGTTTCGACAAAACTCTGAAGACAGCAACAGATGAAGCCTTTCTTATGTCTAGTGGTAGGTTATTCAAAAGTCTTGGAGTGGCGCAGCCGAAAGCGCAATCTCCAAGAGTAATTTTATTTTTGTGCGAGGGAGCTTTAGAAGCAGCTTGTCCTGTGTACTTCGCAATTTATGTGCATATGGATGAAATCTTAAAGATAATAATTCAGACAAATGATTTGGGGCTTGACCATTCAATGCCTCGAAATCAAGTATCAAATACATACACTAGGATTAACCATTGACTTTTCATATTCGAAGAATTTTGTTTGGTTGTTCTGTCTTTAACCCAACCATGATTGAAAAATTGTTAAAGTACACTTGCCTCTTCGTCAAGCCAGTCGTTGTACTGTACAATGGAGCTCATCACTGTATCGGCCCCTTTCATGAAGAAAATGATCTGGCCAGATTTCTCCTCCTGATTTGGACAAATACAAAATTTTAAGAGGTGAAAGGTAAATAAGATCAATATTATCATGAGAGTGTATAAGATGGGAGAATGAAGGTATATAAAAAAGGGAATGGGAAAGGGCACACGCAAGAGACAAGCAAAGCATGGAGATTATTCAGATGGCAAAGGTGAGAAAGGGGTGGATGCAGAGACCAAGAGAGAGAGAGAGAGAGAAAGAGAGATGTAAAGCAAAAGAGAGAGAGAAATAGAAAGAGAAAGAGAGATGGAGAGCAAAAGAGAGTGAAATAGAAAGAGAAATAGAGAGCAAGAAAGAGAGAGAAAGAGAGAAAAAGAGAAAGACTGAGAGAGAGAGAGAGAGAGAGAGAGAGAGAGAGAGAGAGCGATAGAACAGGATAAGAAAGAAAATAAACAAAAAAATTAAATAGAGAAGAAAATGATGAATCTAAATTCAATTTAAGTTATACAAATGTTCATGTTTCTTTACACAATATCTACAAGTGAGAAAAAAGAATATACCATTTACCTTGACGATGATCCCCATTCTCTTTGTCTCTGATGTGAAAGGGAAGATTTGGAGGATGGTGTACTCATCCTCTTCTCCTGTAGGGTTTCGCAGGAGCATGGAGTTCAGGTCTCGCTTGACTAGGGTAAGGTTGACGGTTTCTGTCCAGGTTACCAGGGCAACCTGTTGATATCAAAGATAATTGTTGTCATTAATTTCCTCCTCCTGCGCGTCCTTCTTAATATCATTATTTGTGTTTATTATAATCATCACAGTCCTCATCACTGTTATCATCATCTTTATTATCACCATCACCACCATCATCATCATCTTCAAATTTCATCAGTATCATCAATACAAATCATGTTCAATTCCTTTCACAATGTATAACCCCCAAAACTGCTAAACATTGAAGACTACTTCTACATGAATATAAGGTAAATCTCTTCACACCATACCTGGAAAGTGGATATTCACTGATGTTCCACATTTGAACATCCACAAACATCTACAGTAAACAAACATACCTCATCAGGACTCGAGGCTTGATACACAATGCTAGCCTCTTGGTCTTGGTCTCCGTCATTGATCACTAAACCCTCTGCATCCTCGTCTTGGACTGGCGTTACGTTGTGACACAATGCCAGCGCTCTAACCGACTCAAATACCCTGGTGACAACGGTCCGTCTCACGGCCGATTTGCGTGCAGGTGTGGTCTTTGCCGTCCCTGCATGGTTGCTCTGGGAGTAGGCTGAGAGGAGGTGCGTCTTGACGTCGTCCAGGCTGTCGCTGCCGAAGGCAACTGTGCCCAGATGTAATTTCTTGAAGACCTACAGGAGGACATAGAAATAAACAGAACACAACACTGTAATAATGCTTTCGGAATAAAACTTCTTTAATCTCTCAAACCAATATCATTCTGAACACAACAATCAATTAATTCAATTTTTTAAAACTTATTTCTAAACTTATCTCAAAAGAAAAAATAGTTGTCTACATTTCAGGAGACTTCTAAAAATCGAGCATTCTGTTAGTTCAAAATGTTTCCTAAGATCTATTAGATCTTTTAATTGATTGATTGATTGATTGATTGATTGATTGATTGATTGATTGATTGATTGATTGATTTTATTTATTCATTTCATATAACAATTGTTTGCACAATAAAGAATATAGTTGACAAAGTAAGATCAAAATTATGAAATGAAACAGGAACCTACTGGAAAGCATAGCTTATTTTTGTAGGTTCCCAAGAATAAATATAATATGAACATAATTGATCAATCCTGTAAAGAAATTTCAGAATCCCATGAAGAGATAGAGGCTGTTTGGAATAAAAAAAAATCACAATAAAAAGAGTCAATTTTTTTCGCTTTTGGGCACGAAGGGTGAACAGGTTTTGTGGTCTAGTGGATAAGTCTCCAGACTGTGAACCAAAAGGTATCAAGTTCATATCCTTTGGCAAGACATTAATCTACATTTGCCACACTCGACCCAGGTTTGGTAAGTGGGTATCTGGCAGGATTCATTCCTTGAATGCACCGAGCGCTATGACTGCCAGAGCTCAAGCCAGGGTATTATTAACCAAAGTCCTTTGAAAGGGCATAGAGATGTCATATCATAATGTGATATGCGCTATACAAGAACGGCTTATCATTATTATTATTATTATTACAAGATGTCAGCCCCCACTGGAAAAATCGTGCCCAAACATTTATGTCAATAGGAATCCTGGGTGGTGTTTCATAAAGCTGTGCATAAAGTTACGAATGACTTTACAAAAGATTTGAATATGAAGAGCCAAATAGGATGCCCAGACATGTTAAAAAAGTGTGACTGTTTTTCCCATTATGCAATTAAAAGGATTTGAGAATCTCATTTAGCTTTTCATATTCAAGTCATTTGTAAAGTCATGCGTAACTTTACCCACAGCTTTATGAAACACCCTCCTGTACTCTTACCATCTCATTCTGTGTAAGTGTCCCGGTTTTATCCGATAGTAGATACGTGATGCGCCCCAGCTCCTCCGGGATGGTGGTAGACCTGACCACCGTACCAGGGATCTCTGAATCTCGCATGATGACAAAGGAGTAGACAATCTTGGCCATGTCAAGATTCACTCGTAAACTGTTCAAAAGCAAGAATAACAATGATGATAGATATTAGCTTGATATCAATACCATGAATTATTGTTTATTGCCTGTGTATAAGCTTTTCATGTACTTTTAGATTGCACAGACCTTCAAACTGTAGTGTATATATGAATCTTATTTTGCTTAGCCAACTTTCCTCCCAGCTGCTCAATTATTATAAAACTGATTAACTCAAGTCTATTTTCCTTAAAAATATGTATTTCTTTTCATAAACATGGGCTGAAACAGACCAACTCACTCCAAATCAAGATGGCTACTTCATAATGCATTATAGAATATACAAAGCATCTGGAAACATTGCAGAGATGAGATAGGATAACTACAGGACTGAAGTTTGTTTATATATATTTTTTATAAAATTATTATTATTATTATTTTTTTTTATTTTTTATTGATTTATGCATTTAAGGAATACTCATGAACTGCTAAACACTTTTAAATTGTTCATTCACTGTACCAAGCTTAGTGAATTCAATATCTTTTTAGAAGAACATATTTTACATGCTTTGTCTTGCTTACCTGAGTGGAATAATGGAAGAAAATAAAAGCACATATCTAACAAAGTATCTGAACCATGGGCCCTGGAATCCCTGTTATATAAAAAAGAAGAAAAAGCAAACAAATATTACAGTCTTTAGTCTAGTATATTTCTTGAGTGGAGAGTCGCATTTATATAAACAATCAAAACCGCGATCACGATCAGTCTATGTGGGCTACATACTTCGTAATTGTTGTAATAAAGATGTAAACTATTCATTCTCCAATTTCTGTTTTACACGAAACAAATGGCAATTTTATATCAACAATGAAACTTGTGAATCACATGTAAATATACATAATACTTCAGTTTTCAATATGTTTTTTTTTTCTTCATACTTTTTCCCTCAACAGGGTTTTTATTGATTTTCATTTGTAACAAATTAACAAACAAACTACATTCAATATCTTTTAATGTGGTATCAATGTGTTTTTAAACCTTGTATTATTACTCTGTAAATTGATCAAATTTGGTTGTTAGCTGCATGTTTGATGACTTGCTTTATCTCAATAAATCAAACCAATAAACCAAACCAACTGTTGACAGACCTAGATTGATCTGAACTTATTACACCAATCATTCAATCAAAACATATAACAAATAGATTTGGACAAAAAAATGACAATTTGTACAAATGCTTGAAAGCTTAACACTGTAAATACTGAATGATGAATGTAACATGAGATGGAGAGGAAGGGGAGCAGGACAGGACAGGGTGAAAGACAGGGAAGGGCAGGGGATGTTGGAAAGAAGGGTAGTGGATGGGGGGGGGGGGGGGGGTGGAGAGGAGGAGAGTGAAGAAGAAAGGAAAGATGAGGGCAGGGGTAGGGAAAGAAGGGGAGTGGAGATGAGAGGGGAAAGAGAGGGAAGAAAGATTGCAGGAGAGGACAGCTAGTGAGGAAGAGGATGGGAAGGGGATGGGAGGAGATGGGAGAGATGGGAAGGGAAGGAGAGGGGAAGACGGAGAGGGGAATAGGGAAGGGAGAAGGGAAGGGTAATAGGAGAGGGCAGATGGGAAGGGAAGAAGCAGAGTGGAGATGGGGAGGGCAGGCAAGAAGGGAAAAAGGGGCAGAGGATGAGGAAGAGAAGGAGCAGGATAAAGGGCAGGGGAATGCCCATTACCTTCATGATGATCATGGTGACAGCCAGTGCTAAGGTCAGGAGAAAGAGCACTTTGGTCTGATTGTTGACCTCCAGGTCAGTGATGCCAAACTTGAGCCTTGGACTGGACGTGTTCATCACGGCTCTCGTCTCAGGACCAGTGTAGATGACCACACCCAAAGCTTGACCTGTAAAATGATTTTGACCTTTATTGATACATGTTCCCAGTGTCTCCTTTCAGGGCAAGTTCTGTATGATGTTGTGGTCTAGTGGTTAAATCTCTGAAGTGAACTGATATACATGTACCGCAGTATGTGTCATTATAATTAGCTTCAGAGTACAATATTTTTGTCATTAATCTGTTTATAGTTAGCACCTTGAGCACCCTCTGAATGGATACATTGTGCATCATAAATGTCTGCATTATTATGACTTTCTTATTACTGAAAACTCTGTGATGGGCTACACAATGTTTACACCGGGTAATATTTACGCCGGCACCAAAGCTATATATGCAGGTATATACATCAAGTGAACTTAGGGGAGTTTACTCTTTGTTAAAGTATATGAGTTCAGTTTAACACCCTTCTGGCTCTCGGCAGGTGTTAGCTCAAAGTGTACGGCATACTCGATTTTCCATTCAACAATGCCTTGGGTCTTATAGAATCTATAACACCAAACACTGAACTCACCAGATGCTATTACGGTGTTAGCCCACAATGTATTCTCAATGCCCAGTGCATCCTGTGTTGATACACCCTCTTCTAGCACCGTGAACGTTCCTACGAAGCTGTGGATGTCTTTCTGAGGCTTCTCTGCATATACATTGCCATTATAGCCCAGTAAATCCTGAGTAAGAAAGGAATATATAATATGTCATTGAATTTTATTTCAATTTCTTTATAAAATATTTAGATTTTAATTGTACTCATGTGTAAAAAATGTATTGATCATTGTGAACAAATATTATTAACTACCGGAGAATGAATAACTACATTTTTCAATTTCGCAACCCTAATTGACAAATAATAATAAAAAGCCTTAACTTCTAGATAGCTTCTAGATAGTTAGTAGTTTTTGCTAAAGTACAAGCTGGAAGGAATCATATATTCTCCAAATGCAATATTCACGTAGGGAAAGTAGCCTTGGAATAAAGGAACACAACTAAATGTTTTCATTTGGAGCTCAAAGTAGAGAAAGGGAATCAAAATCTCAACTCAAATTCAGAATTTTTTAATATTGAAAGGTTTTATTGAAGAATTTTTTTTTAAAGTCAATAATCTCAACGAATCATCCTGAAATTGGTATTAATGTCCTTTGGCAAGAATTGATCTCCATTTTCCACACATAACCCAGGTGATGTAAATGGCTACCTGGCAGGAATTAATTCCTTGAAAGGCTAAAGCCAGGGTAATAATTGCGGAACGCCAGAAGTGTCAAGTCTGACAGATATGTGCGCCATACAAGAACCCAATATTATTATTATTATCATTAAAAAACAAAGGAATATTTGAATATGTGTATTTTTATCAATAAGAGATGATAGAAAACAGAAAATAAATAGAAAAGAGGTGTGATTAAATAGTGACAAGTAATGGGACTATTTCTCACCTCATCCTTGTTTAACCTTTGACAGCTGGGTACTGCTAGTCTTAGCTTCCAGTCTGTTTCACCATCTAGCTGGTCTGTGCGTATAAAACATGCCCCTGAAACAAAACACAAGCAAATAAATTTAAAAATGTAGATTATGGCATACAGGCATACATTTACAGTACATTGTAAATGCACTGGCAACTGTGGAGCAAAATAATTAGTTCTTCCTCTTTTGATGTAAATTACCACAAAAGTTTTCTTCATGTTGAAGGGGTAACACTAATATTAAAAGTGAGATTTTAAAAATGGAAACAAAAGTTTACTGGTACTGGACATGTATGTAAAATGTAGAGCATGAACCTGGGAAGGATTCTAAAGAATAACAAATTTAACGAGGAATATTTTACTGTCATAACATATCTGAAGAAGGATGAGCCACTGGTTATTGATAAGCATATAGTTAAAATCTAAATTATCAATACCCTTTAATTAATACCAATTTTTTTAATTTTTCAAGGACATGTATGTGAAAATTTATTTGTCCCTTTCTCTGTTTCTTGAGAATAAAGCTTTAATACATCTAAAAGTATTCAACAAAGGCCCTAATCTAACCAAGCCAGCTATCATTCTTGAGTTAAAGGTAAAGACCAGTTATGGTCATGCGATTGCATTGTGAAAGAAACATTGTGGAATCGATCATAAAAGGTTGATCATCTAGCATCTAGCATCTGCAAGGTTCTGGAATCATCAAAATGATAAGAAATTTGGCCCATTCTTCGTAAAGTTACAAGTACTATACACAGAAAGATATATATGGGACTACCCTATATCTCTCACAGACCATGAGAGAAACAAATTTACCAAATATATGAATTAGTAGGCGGTTTCCCGGCAAATTTGTTATCATCATGTATTAGTCAAAACATATTCTTTCACATGATTGGTAATGAGAGCTTCCATTTCATTTTTTGAAATTGGGGCGTTTCCAATACTGGTCTTTACCTTTAACAAAAACATAAAAACATAAAATTTGCAAGGGGTATGAATAATTCTGTTAACTATAGATCAAAATACATGTACCTGTATTACGTATATGATATAAAAGTTTTATTGATTGATACACCTACTCAAACTATGTAAATTTCTAGTGAAATATTTATGGTGTATCATATAACATGTATAAAAGGAGGGTACATATACGTACTTGGTATAGAAGGTACAATGTACATGGTACATGTACATGAAAGGTAGAAAGCATTGGTTTAGAAACATATGTTGGGAAGTCTTACCATTTCTCTCTGTTGTTCTTAGTAATACAAGATCAGCTGGAACTCTTTGGTTCTGCAATAAATATGGAAAGAGGGATTATGATATGAACTACATACATGTACATGTATGTAGGTTATAATAATTATTGTAAACATGGTATATCTGCTACAGATGCAGTGGTGCAGATGCAGATGTCCATCAGGACATTGAAGTGTAACAATCACCAAAAGAAATAATGTGTTTATAGGTAGAAAGTACATGTACATGTACATGTAGGTAGAGTGTATAAAATCAACCTAAACAAACTTTACCTCGCATTCTATACATGTAGGTTAAAAGTTAAGTACCGGTAGTATTATGAAAATAAAGGATAACATAAAACCATTTGTACGGGGCGTGCATGGAACCCAAGTCCGACATGGGTTCTGCACGCGCACTAGTATATACAAGAGTGTACGCTTGCGTTATTATTAGTCTACTCAACAAGACAGTTTACAAATCACTGGAGATTATTTAAACTACAATATCTCTTTGAAGAAGAATTATTTGAAGCATATTTGAATACAGTATAGCAACATGGAACCCCTTTAGTACATCAAGAGCAAAACATCTTTTGGTCCTTGGTACTTTAAAGTCAAAATACATGGACATTGTACAAGATATGTTATGATGTCTGTGCACAGATTCACTGGTTTAAAACTTTAATTAAGTATCCTTCCTACCAGGGCAGGACTCCATGCTTGGCTTCTCATCCATTCACTGTGCTTCAGGAGCAATCATATCATGATCCAACTACCTGTACAGTACATGTATCTCCTTCAAGTTGTTCTAATTTCATTATATCCCTAGGCATGTATAACACAGGCAAAGTAGGCAGGGACATTAACATGTACATGTACATATGCAGTATTCTTTCAGCATCATATCAAGTTTTTAGATGTAATGTACATACATTTATACTACATACAAGTGCATACCAGTAGAGCACAACTATTGTGAGTCGTAATAAATGTAACTGTGTGTGTGAGATATACATGTATAACAAATTATACATGTATAATATCATGAACTGGCATCTTACCCTCTGAAAATCGTAATTATAAAACTCCATAAATATCTAACTGGAATATTACTATCACAGGTACTTAATAAGATTTCTAATACTTATACTGCAATCATTGTTAAATACCATTAATATTAATGGTAGAATAATAGAAACACTAATTTTAACAGGAGAGAGAGAGAGAGGGGGGGGGGAAAGAGAGAGAGAGGGGGGGAGAGAGAAAGAAAGAGAGCTAGAGAGAGACACTTCTACATGTACAATGTATACATGTGTCCATACTGTACATGTACATGTATGCAGAGAAAACTTCACAGAAAAGAATTAATTTTTTTCATTTCATTTTTATACTTTGGGTTATTGATTGGCCGATTAAAAATAAACATGACTGCCGAAAGAACAATATCAATAATCAATAACAAATAACGGGCTACAGGACATATTAAGTTACAGGACATATTACTTGCAGGTATCAAAGGAAATTTGTACCCAACAGATGGCGAGGCTGTTTAGTGGCATCCACAGCCCATGCATGGTCAACCTGCTGTAGAATGATTGCATGGTTGAGAGATCTATGAGACCCCTCGATCTCACTGATTGCCACTGACAATTCATAATATACTGCAGTACATACTGTATGTAAAGTGTACAGAGTCTTATGAGCCTAATGACAAATACCATGAATAGGAGCAGAAAGTACAGTACCGGTACATAAAAAAAAAAACTTTTCTTCTTTGTTTTAAAGACCATCTGCAATAGTTTGGCCAGGTGGGATTAGACCTCCCTGCAAGGTCACTGACAGGTGGCTATCTCATCAAATCAGCTCTCAATTAACTTAAGAAAAAGGGGATCATGGGGGACCAACAGGCACCGATTAGGTATCGTTTGCTATATTGAGGGCGCAAGTAGCTATAAGTAGTACAGTGGATCACTTGCACAAATACATAATCTCGAAATGGTGCCGGTAATGCCAACACTTTTCTAATTCCAATCTCTTTATGTAAGTTGTTCTTAACATGATGTTGTTTGTTTGGTGTTGCTTAGCATTTGTGTATCTATTTGCTTCTTTTTTTCCCTTTTTCTTTGTATTTTGCGATATCAACTTTCAATCATTTATCTGACTTACTATCAAAATTTCCTAAAAACCTACATCTCTGCTTCTCTTACTTCTATGTTTTTACTCAAAACACACTTACCGTACCGTTTCCTTTACTCAAAATTCCATACGTTTAAGCTATCATTGACACATTATCATCAATGTTAATCAATTTATATTACTTGCTTGTAATTTTTAAGATCTAATTCTGCGTTCCCTTCTACAATATTCAACCGACAATGGTATACAACCGTCTTCTTTTTCCACCCCCCCCCCCCTTCATGACGTATTGGAATTATAGGAGCATGGTTCACATGACCCATTAAATTAGGCCAGCCATCATCTATGGCTCAGGGCCACTTAGAAATACCACAGCATATGAACGCCAAATGATGAAATGTGCTGGTATATTTACAAAATATACGGGTCCATTTCAATATCCGTACAGAAGCCATAAGGAAAAACATTTGAAGTTCTCATGTACATGTAGATGTTCATGTAGCTATAAAAATAGAAAAATGATATCATCATTAAAGAGAAGGTTGAGTTCTGGGAAGAGGTGAAAAATAATTTGTGAGCATTACTCATTCTTATTATGCAAGTGTGGAAGAACATCAGTTAAGACATGTTCCCTGAAAAGCATGGCTCTTCAAATGCCTTCATATTCTAAATATGCATGTAACATCGTAAAAATCGGGGGGCCGGCTTTTTACGCCACGTGTTCGTGTAGTCCCATATACATCTTTCTGTGCAAGTGTTTGTAACTTTACCGAGACTTGGCCAAATTTCTTATCATTTTGATGCTTCCAGAACCTTGCAATACACACAAATTCTTATATGCTAGATGATCAACCTTTTCTGGTCGGTTCCACACCGTTTCTTTCACAATGCAATTGCATGACCAGAACTCAACTTGATCTTTAAGGATTATCTATTCAAAATTTGTATAAAGAAGCAGAAGTTTTGCAAACGACTGTTCATTGTGCCTTTAAGGAAGCAAAAGTTTTGCAAATGACTGTTACTTTTATTATTATTATTACTGTTATTGTTATTTATTCAGCAAAAACAAAGAAAATCATTGAATACAAAACAACAGTACATTTGGAAAAGAGTCACATGGATGCCTCGAAAAGAAAAAGATTAAATAAATAACTGTTAATTGTGCCTTTAAAAGGATTACATGTAACATATTTCTCACCTTTTCTACCACTATGAGATCTGAGACTTGTAGCTCTGAGCTGGGCACCTTGACTAGTCCTGTGCGGGTTAGCTTGTAATACTGAGACATGTTCACCTCCCGATCTCTTCTGTATCGCCTGAAGTCGTCAAGAGCCTCCCGACACATCGTCACAAAGATGACAAACGCCTAGAGGGAGGTGAGAAGAAGATAGTCAGTGACAACAATTTAGTTTCAGGGTCACTTTTAACAGAAATTTCCCTTCCAATAAAGATTGCACGCAGCCCTATGCAGTCTATGAGCATTACGCGCTCATGCAAAATTGGTCAACGTTCATAAACCCTATGGTTCATAATCTTCATAAGTCTATAACATTCAATATCAACAAAGGAAAACTTTAACTCTCTTTATTACCAGTAAACAAAATTTTAATGAACTTTTAACTTTCTTTATTTAAACCCAATTTTTTGTTAAACCTAATTTGAACTAGCTCTGTGCCACAATTTCAACCAGGGCTGCAACAAACAACAAATGTTGTTGAAGGGGTCCAGAGAGCAAATTTTAGAGTCTTCATGCATGCATCTCCTGATTGACTTTCTTACGGGGGGGGGGGGGGGGTCCATAAACTATAAGATATTTCAGGAGTGGAATATGAGTTTGAATTCATGGCTTCATACTTCCACTGTCGAGTTGGGCAAGGGAAAAAATTCCATTGAAACTGAAGTGTACCGATAATTATTTGTTTTAAAAAAGCTTCATGGATTCTAAATGGTCCAAACTCAAATATGCCACTTATATTGTGGAGCAAGAATTGCCAAACACATGATGAAAAGTATGGATATTCATAAAAGATTTTCAGACATACACTTTGATTCTGCTAAAGCATTTTACATGTACATATTGCAAACTACCAATAATATTATTCATACCAACATAATAATAGTTAATGCTCAGGATCATATCAGATTTATAGTACTAAAAGAGCTCTACATCAATATGATCCTCCTAAAAGCAGCATACATGTAGCTCATAAATTAAACACACCACAAGCCACAACATCCTCTGTCAAATACATGTACATCTCTATGATTTTAGCAATACGCGGAGTACAAGGTACACTTGCAGTGTGTACTTTGTCCATATGTCGGAGGTACAATAAAATCATAAATTTGCATCCTGGCAATCCAGTGACATGGTTGCTATGATGTGAGAAGATAAAGTTCTGAATTGGAAACTTGATAATCCTTCTGTTTTGTTGAAATGTTCAGCACATAGAAAGAAAACCTGGATAATAATAATAATAGTAACAATATTTATAAAGCGCAACATATCCATCTCTAGAGATCCTCAAGGCGCATACAAATAATTTAAATTAATATTCAACATACTTGAAATTAAAGAAATATTAAATTACACAACTTCATGGTGCCATGGTACATACAATGTGGCACAGTGTGATTGTTTGTTTTGCATGCATTAAGAAAAGAACATTGAAATTTAACAATATGCATTGAGCCTCAGGTGAGTTTTAAGCCCAGTTTTAAATGTAGAAAGAGTGTTGGCCGTCTGAATAGAGAAAGATAGCGTATTCCACAAAGAAGTAGCTGCTGATGCAAATGCTCTACCCCCCAATTTCTTTTGGTACGTATTTCTTTAAGCCTAGTATTATGTGATGAACGTTAACCAGAACGACCTGCCGAGTGCGGTGATAGAAAGGATGAAATACATTCTGGATCCTATTATACTATGAATACTTTTATTACCCCTGTCTTGAGCCAACCTTCCAGGATAAGCGCTCAAGCATTCAAGGAATTTCTTCCACTACATGTACAGTAGCTACCCATTTCACTTGCTTTAAGTATTTACAACTAGAATCTCATGCATGTGTACACTTTGAATGAAACAAAAATACATAGAAATAAGTATACCTTCTAGAAATAATCCATGTTTGCCAGTTCTGACTGTACATTTATATGCAATGCATGCAGCTTAAATCCCAATCAGATATTCAACGAGATTTGTCAAGTTCATCATCCGGCTCATTGTTCTATTGTAATGCATGTGCTTCAAAACATAATAAAGACGATTAATATGCAACAAAGTCAAACGGAACAAAAATGCCAAGAATGGCAACATATTATGCGCCATATACATGTACATGTACGTACATACATTGTAAGCCTGACATTATTAATTTATTATAACTTACCAATGGTGCCCAATAGGTGTAGAGATATCCTATCCTGAGTGATGGTATTAGCTGGGATAAAGCCATCAGTAAGAAGTAGAGATTGAGAAACAGCTTGAACTGGTAGTACAGGGCCTGTATGGAGGATACACAAAATAAAAAATATGTTTAAAGTTCTGCTCATTTCAACATACACAATAAACACTACAGAAACACCAATTTTGTTTCCATCATCATTTAGACAAAAGGGAGACACATACAATGTACTGTACACTGTACTTCAAATACATTACATACATGTATTTTATCATCAGAATAAGCCAGATCAATGTTAGTAAATTACATGTACATTTCAGGGAATATGCATCCCAAAATACTGTACATGTACATGTACATGTTGGGAGGATATTCTGGTGTCTTGCTGTCCAAAAATGAGAATATTTACAGACTCAAGAAAATGATCATAATCAAATCATCAATTTTATTGTTGCCCTCAGGCTCATGAAGCACGTACACTGTAACAACAGAAAGACTAAGGAGCAACAAGAAGATACATGTAGTGTGAAACTGGCATATAAAGACCACTCAAGGGTGACAAGAAAAGTGGTCTTTGCAGGCAGGTTGTCTTTATGTACAGGTTATATTAGTACAGGTTTCTACGGGAAACGCTTGTCAAGGGAAACAGATACATGTATTAATGCAGTATAGACAGGTGGTCTTTAAATACCGGCACAGGTGGTCATGCTTAAAATCTTTCACATCTTTCAGTAAAAATAAGATCGCCCTTTTCTCATGTATGAAGAGCATGGTCTCCTGAACACGATGATGATACAGTGATCAATTTCCTTCGTGCCCCTTAGGAGTACCTCCCTGACATTTAGCATCCTGCTGTCATACATGAATAACATCCCAGTCTGGATGGAAATCTGTGTGGATGCCAGTAGGCCTGTTTTCACTAGCTCAAGATTGCCAAATATCCCGCTATTTGAACTATCCCGATCGCAATCTATCCAGCTAATTTGCATCTTCATCAGCCCGAAGTTGCAATTAGCGGGATATTTGGTCGGGATTTTCATCCCAAGATATCTTGGGATAGTTTGCAAAATATCCCACTATTTGGCAAATATCCAGCTATTTGTCCGGTGCTTTTTCACCAGACCGAAGATTCGCAATTACGCAAAATATCTTGAGCTAATTTCTCAAGGTCGAGTATCAAATTTCGAGGAGCTGATGAGGACGCGATTTGTAACTTCGGGATTATTTCCCAAATCAGAAATAGCGGGCTATTTGGCAATCTCGAGATGATGAAGACGTGCCTATTATGAATAACATCCCAGTCTGGATGGAAATCTGTGTGGATGCCTTTGATACAAACAACACTTGAAACCCAGTGTATCAAAAACGGTTTATTGCCGTTTCGTCTATAACCAGTTTGTCTACTTTCCAGTTTGTCTATTTCCATATGGTTTACATCCAGCCCATCTACTATCCATATAGTTTAATGATCATTTTGTCTGCTTATCATTTGGTCTATAGACCATTAAGGCTAATAGCCATTTGGTCTAATCTCCAATAAGTCTATACATGTACGTCCCATTTGGTCTATTGCTCATTTAGTCTTATTTCCAGTTGTTCTAATTCCCAGTTTGTCTAATGCCCATTCTGTCTACTATCCATAAGGTATGATGGCCATTAGACCAAATGATATTAAAGTACACAAACTGTTTATGAGACCTTATGGAATATAGTAGACGGGCTGGTCTTAGACATATGGGAATTCAATAGACTAATTAGAAAGTAGACAATGTGTTTGTACGTAGACCTAACAACAATTCACTTCAAAAACAACAGTTCTTTTCTAGGGGCTACTTTTCTTTTCTTGCCAAATTGGTCTTAGCTACCCAGTACAAAAAAGTACTTTCATGTTATTAATTTGAAGTCAACTCTGTGTTAATTTGATTCTTAGTCTCCTGTCTATATTTTTAAAAAGCAAAGAGTTGCTCTTTATTGATAAGAACTACAGATTAAAACCTTTCCATTTTCCCCCAACCACCTTGAAACCAAATTTTAAGTACAGTAGCACATTACCTTTGATTGCTTTATAAAACGGTATACTACATGTACATACCGTACACTGGTATTGCATCGACAAACTTGCATATATTTTCTTATACCCCTTGGTACAAATCATCTTCATATATGTACATGTACCACACATATTCCAATATTATTTTTAAATAACATTCTGCAAATTCGTGCAATAAACCAAAAATATAGCTTTCGAAAGAGGAAATGTTTTTATGTAGTATATAATGTATTGCACACTACAAACAGAAAACCACTGTGGCATTTGGTCCAATTATACATGCACATGTCCCAAAAATATTTGTCCAAAACATCCACATTTATTTTGAGTTAAAAATAGAACTAACTTCATCCGGGAACGGTCACATGAAACAACTGTTGCTGTGCATTGTAAGTATGTGTATAAAGGTCAAAATATTAGACCATTTACATTTAGAGACGATCTGTGCTTGCACAAGACTGAAATGTAAACATATGGATTGTGACTCACAAACTTGAATATACAACTACATGTACATGTACATACATTTGTACATGTACATGTACGTGTACATGTACATGTACAGTAGATGAGTGGACTACAGGTATTTAGAGACAAGTAGAGGCCAATAATAAGCCAATCTTTAATCTTAACATGTACAGTTCGTTAATCTCTGTGTACATAAGACACACACAAAAATGAAAGTCGGGGTGTGTCTTATACATGGGTACAAAAAAACACACACAAAAAAAAATATATTTTAAAGTTTCGATTTATGCCCCTCCTCCCGGCACTATGCCTGGCAATGTCTCCCAGCTCAGTAATGGGTGTGTTGACTCACCACTCCAATTTACCTGTCATCTTGGTTTGAAAGTAATCTTTCTAAACAATCTCAATGTGCAGTTTATAATAATTCCTCCAATTTTTCTTCTATTACACACGGAGTACCACAAGGTTCTATCCTAGGTCCTCTACTGTTTTGAATTCGCCTTCAACAATAGGGGTGCATCTTATGCACAGAGATTTACGGTAATAGAAATAATCATGCATACTTTCTGGGCAAGGTACAGTACAAAACCTGCAGAGGAAACAACCCCTTCTTCTCCCCCTCCTTTTTTCTTTTTTGTATATAGCTCTTTTCTATTTGCCAGGATTTGAGCAAGATTTCAACCTAGTTTTGGCTATCTACCAGTCATTTACATATGTTGCTTTATACTGAATTAAAAACTGATGAATTGATAATTCAATTTTTATTATAATCATTCAGCATGTTATTTCATTTCCTATACATTCTCTATTATGGATGTATTGCACTGGGTAGTTATAATACAGTTCAACTTAGTGACCACCTGTCTACATCAAGCACATTTTTTGTCTCCCTTGAAAATGGTTTCTCATTGAAACATGTAGTATAAAAGGAACCTGTCTACAAAGACCACTTTTTGTGTTTCCCTTGGGCGGTCGCTGTAGACAGGTTTGACAGTACCAATTTCATATTTGTGCATAAAACTGTTTGTTTGAAAAGATGATACAGTACATGTATAAAAAGCAATAAATAAAAATAAATCCAATGAAAACAGAAATATGAAATTCATAGTGACTTACCAGAGGAATGAATGTGAAGATGTTATATTTCTGATTGCAGATCTTGTTGGGTGGATACTTCTCTTGCTGTGGGCCTGCCTTGCCAAGCCATACTGTACGTGGGAACAGCTCCTTCTCAGGTTTACATCTCAATTTGAATGAGGAAAAGCACCTACAGCATACAATAGTATATAATAATCTTGATTAATATAGCGCTTTATACGAAATATCACCTCTGAGCGCTTTACAGATATCATAACCCCGGTCACAGGATGCAAGCACAATGTGCACCATCTCCACTCCCTAGGGAGTATTCTTACTACAGTACCTGGTTTCTATATGTTCACACTCACAGTGAGGGCTTATGGCAAGTACTAACACAAAGGCTTTGGTCATCCTACCAGATCCCAATTTCTCTCCTTGGTATGGAGTGGCAAATGTAGATTAATGCCTTGCCAAAGGACATTAGCACTGTGTTAGGGATTGAACCAATGACCTTTGAATTTCAAGTCAAGTGCTTAAACTACTAGACTACGACACCTCTACCATATGAGGTCATAAATACAGGTAGGCCTACATTACAAAAGTAATGGGAGACAACAAAAAAAAATTTGGAGGACCTACAATTACAATATGTATAATGTACATTACTACCGGTACATTCTTTACGTAATGGACAAAAAAAAGGATTTGCAGGACCTACATGTACATGTAGTACATGTATGAGGTCATGATAAATTAAGCATGGGGGAGGGGGGGGGGGGAGAAAGATGTGTACAATATATATTCCTTTATAAACCCGATTGCTGTTGTCCATCAAGGCCCATATTCATAAAACCTACATGTATAATAATTAACCGTATGTTATTACTATAGCCTATGTAATCAGTTGACAACTAAACATGTACCAGTAGCTTAGCAAGGTTTTATGAATATGGGCCATGTACCTGAAAAGTGTGTACATGACTTGTATAATGCTTGCTTATTTTACAAAACAAATACGAAAGACACTTAAGAAAAAATCTAATAATTGTCAGTGTGTTTTTAAAAAACTTTTTTAATTGCATAACTGTCTCATCTTATCAAATTTTCCTCTTCCTGTAACTTTTAACTATTTTTTTCCCCTCTGATTTTTCTTCTTTTCTTCAGGGTAGACACCCCCTTTCACATACACGTACATGTACATATGGCCTGTTCATTGAACCGCAACCCACAGCTGACTGCTTACCTTGAACAGGCATCGTTGATGCTACACAGGCAACGTGTGATGGGGTCTTGCCTGTGGGTGCCTCGTCGAGTCAACGACTCATGCTCGTTATCGAAGATCTCCTCCCCCATGACCAGAGGCAGGTCCTCTACAGAGTCTTCTTCTGATCCAACACTAAACAAAGACAAAAATATAAATGCAAAAAAAATTGTTTATTTAATAAATTCTGGTTCGTTTAGCCTCTGCATGAATTAATTTGTGCATTTCAAATAAAAAAAAATTAAAAAAATAAAAAAATATAGCAGAAGATGAGGCACTCTATTCAGTTTTAAATTCTGTGTGAAACATTTGCTTTGACCCGCTGACCTTTGCTACCCCAGCAACAAGAGCGGTCTAGCTCGTGAGTGTGAACATGAACGAAGCGTACCTCTGGAGCAATCCAGTGGATCGGTCTAGGAAGTGAGTGAGAATGGGGTCTTACAATAATAAATGACTTGTCCTATTTGGGATTTACTAATACAACAATTAACATACCGTCATGAACATCAAACTATATTTTTAGGTGGTCTGTCAATGACAGATCACCTATTGTTTTTGTCTTTATTCTTTATTTCTTTATTTCTTTATTTCTTTATTTATTTATTTATTTATTCTTTTTTTTTTTTTTATTTCTTCACACTTTTTTGTTCACAGGATAACTCAAGATCGGTTCAATCAATTTCCTTCAATTTTGGCACAGTCATTGTCATGAGTCGTGACAGTAACATTTTCAAGGTCATCAAATCTTCATGACGTCATCGAGGCGCCATTTTGTGTTTTTTTTTGTACTTTTTACTCATGATCATATCTTCAAAACGGAAAAGCATTTCTTATTCATATTTATCATGATTAAGGTCAATATCCGTCCGGTCAATTTCAGGTAAAAAAATGCACGCGCATGCGTACGAAATTTCAAAAGCGTGCACGTTTTTGCGCGTACTTGCATTTCGCAACGTAGAATTGCCAAATTTTCTCTTTCATCATATTTGGCACACTTTTTCAAGCATTTTGATACCTTGTTCACCTTTTCTGACCATTAATATGAGCGTCCGTTAAGGTACGCATCCGTGCATGCGAGCTCTTGTAATACATAACATATACCTGTACATGTGCAAAAACATGCCTATACAAAATTCATTGTAACTCTTCAGAATGGATGGATACCCCCCATTTTTTTTCATATTTGGATAGATTATGAGTCTGAGATATGATTTCTAGTCTCATTTGACCCTCAATTAACTCATGACATCATCATAATGGCCTCCAAACACAAAATTTCAATTTGCATATTATGACGTCAGCAGATTTTTGGAAAATTGATTGTATCTCTGTAAATATTGATCAAATTTCTTTCAATTTTGATATGTTCTAACTGAGAATATTCTCTACAAATGTTTTCAATATTTCATTTTGACAATGGCATCATGGCGTATTTTTGTGATTAAAGGAGGCATGTCAATTTTTCACATTTTGCGTGTATTCTCTATGGGACATGACTTTTTCTCAAAACTGGATTCTACATTCTCGTCCTTCGCGAGCAATATCTCTGTCGTTTTATCTTTGTTTACGCTGAGCTTTGAGTATGTTGTAGCTGAGACAATGAGCTATCACAAGTGTGCCCTTTATTTTTCAATCAGATGCCGGGATCGTGCTCATATTTCACTTACAAAGTGGGATTTGAGAATTCCATTTTACGTTTACGTGTAATCTCTATGGGAAATTTTTTGGTATATCGGTAAAGCACTTGACTTCCGACCTCGAGGTCCCTGGTTAGAGTCCGGGCGTCTCCAACAATTTTTTTTTCTTCACTTTTTTTTTCTTTTTGACCTTTCATTGTACCATCTCCTTTGAATATTAAAACATGTACAATCGCAAATAATTTAATAAACAACCATATTTACTTTATTATTACCCTTTTATCACTTGATCCTTTACTTTTTGCGTGTAATCCTTATGGGAGATGACTTTTTCTCAAATCTGGATTCTACATTCATGTCTTTTGCGAGCAATATCGCCGTTATTTTGTCTTGATTTTTGTTGATTTTTGAGTATGTTGTAGCTGAGACTATATACTATCTAAATGTTTTCTCAATTTTCCATTCTGATGTCATCATGGTCTGTTGATGATAATCATCAACATCATGATCATCATTGTTAACATGTCTATATAACTTCTCCCTTTCTTAATATAGTAAATATTATAATCTATCATAAGACTTGAAGACAGACCACCTTATTCGTCCTCGTGACGAATTAAATTCTAGTTCTATTTTAATTCCTCGACTGACCAAGGGCAAGTCACTATCAAACAACATACTGGTAGACATACCATGATACCACTTTTGTACACTACAGGTAGTCTAGGACCACATTCAAACTTGATTAATGTGAACATTTTGAATGCTCTCGACAGCAAACAAAAACAAAAAATTACTGAAAATACTTACTGGTAAGGGGCACATACATGTGTATCAAATACATACACATGCTTGTTGACCCTATGGGCAATCGACCCATACATGTCAAGAATTATACCAAAACTTTTGGGAAAGCTTACTGCTGATGCCAAGTGTGGAATAACATGTTGCAAAAGTGAAGCACTGTAAAAAGTTACAATTGAACATGTATGCCACTGGTATGTCTACATGTACATTGTAGACTGAGGTGATTGAGTTGTGAATAGACAAAGGCCCTGGAAAACAAGCTTACACGCTTCAATAAACATCTTGTAATGTCTTCAAATTGTTATACCTCACCATTTTATTGTTACCATCTCTGTAAAGTCACATGGATTGGAAAAGAAGACCTTCGGGTTACAGTTATTGAGTTAATCTCATTCTTTTCACGGCACCCATGTGACTCATTTTCAAATGTACTCTTGTTTTGTATTTAATGATTTTCTTTGTTTTTGCCAAATAAATAATAATAACAATAATAACAAAATTGACACACAGATATATTGTTGTATCTCAAAAGGCAGAATCCAAAAAGACAGGTGAACTATAAACAAATTCAAATGCTATGCATACTTTTTAAAGAAAGGTTGTTCTTGGCTTACACTATGAATATGACAGACAAAGAAAGCGGACAAAATATACAGTTCCTCGGGGAGACAAAGGAACATCCCTTCACTGCTATTATGTAAAAAGGTGAATATGCCTGTGACACCTGTTCTACACATTTTTACATAATAGCAGTGAAGGGATGTTCCTTTATCTACCTGAGGAACTGTATATTTTGTCCGCTTTCTTTGTCAGTCATGTTCATAGTGTTAGTGAAAGCTTGCCAAAGGTGCATCTGACAGTCACATTGCATGAAGTATAAATAATAGTAATAGGCCTACTGTACATGTACATGCCGACTGGATTCTATGTATATTTTGTAGTTTATTCATTAATAACAGATTTAATTGAATAACTCATCACTAGGTCCCCACCTGGAAAGAAAATCCTTATTTAACTATTAGTTACCAGATCTAATGAATACATTAGCTTCCCCTACATCTTCAGTACCTATACTTTTGAATATTTTCCCTAAAAACAAAGACATTACACTATACACTTTCTTGCAGGTTTACAAATGCATAATCGACGGTGAGGTGCTGCAGATCAGATCATCATTTAATTAATGTAAGTTAATCATAGTGATGATGATCATCCTCATCATCACGGTCTTTAACTTCACGCACATGCCCGCAACCCACCGTCAGTGGAGTACGGTATGCACTTGTATTGTACAGCTTGTAAGCAGTTCGCTGTGAAACCTGTCAGAAAGTGTACATGTATATCATTTATAATGTCTTTGTTTTTAGGACAAGTTAATTTAATTAATACTCCAAAAAAGATAAGAAAATTGACCCAAAGCAGGTATGAAAGAAAACAACTTTTAAATCGTGACCATTTATTATTTGAACAATTGTTGAAGAATTAGTTGATTTTTGGTACTCTAGGGTACTCTCCACGTGGGAGTCACAGGTCAAAAGTACATGTACATGTACATGTATGGTCAGTTGGTCACAGTTCTGAGTAGTAGAGTCTTGTCCTGTATTTTCTTTCCACTGATGCCCACAATTTAAAGTAGGGAGGCCGTTACCAAAATTTAAAATCTAAGTACCGGTAGGCATTTCTGAATATTTAAAGAAAGTTTAAGAGTAAGCAATTATCAATACAAGGCACCTCGCCCATCTCCCGACTCCAGAAGTAGATCATGAAAAAGGAGATACATGTATTTTGCTCCCTAAGTTGGGGATTCCTTCTAGGCTGAATCCGTCCTTAAGAGCCTTCAAACATTAAGTTCCATGGGCACTAATGACGTTCATAATTAGACAGGCCCGAGAAAATGGGCGTGTCAGCCAGGACAAAGTCCAAAAAGCCTAATTTTGACATTTTGGAAATTAGGCCTAAAATAAAAACTTGTTGCATTGCCCTTTGGTTGCCAAAACATGGGTCGGTCGGTCGGAAAAGTTTTTTTTTTTTAAAGCTTTTTTTTGTCGCCCTCTTTGGGCCAATATTTTCAGATTTGAATGTTTTAATATTTGTGCTTCAGCGTCATCATTCCATTGATATATTTTTCAGATCATAATTATCCATGGTTAGCACAAGTGAGAATTTTGGAATAATTTGATTTCATGCATTTATATGCCATTTAAACAAACAAAATACATATATTTTTATTCACTAATAAAAACAAATCTAAAAAACGGTTAAAAAAAAACTTTTTTAAAATGCCGACCGTAGATTTTCAGATTTTTTGGTCGGTCGCAAAGGGCAATGCAACAAGTTTTTATTTTAGGCCTTACAGTCACTCGTCAGCGGCTAGTCTTGAATCGGTCGTACACTGTATTTTTCATTCTTAATTGTGAGACAACTTAGACCGACTATAAAATGATTTTTCTCAGACTTCAATCTCTATTACAATTTTCACTTGTCAAGAAATTCATCTCCCTTGACTGCAAAATCATGCTGAATAAACTCAGTGAGCCCCCCCCCCCCCCCCTCCCTCCAGGAAAAATCCATCCAAAAACTAATTTTCTTGTGACTCTGAGCCTCCTCTGAGCCCATTCGTCCTTTTTACCTGCCTATTTAGTACTGCCACCTTTCCCATTACAAAGGCTAAGGAATCATGTATTTGAATCCTAGATTTTACCTTTACTTCAATTAAACTTTATTTCCTAACGAGTAATGATTTCAGTCTACTGTACAATCAACTAGAACGAGATCTTATATTCCTCTCTCATTTTGTTCTTGCTCGTGGAAAGGCGGCACTCAAAATTCAATCCCGGTCTCTCTCTCTCTCTCTTTACCTGCACCTGCCGTACATGTATGTGTCTTCGATCACAAAGCTTCAATGCATGACACGTTTTACCTCCTATTTTCACAATTGGAGTATACATGTAGACTGTTATCCAGTCATGTTTACTGAAAATTTGAAATTACGGTAAACACTTCTCATACAGTACTCAAACATGATTACTGCACTGTGAGAACGAGCTTGACACCATATCGAGTGCTGTGAGAATAAGGGACTAGGTGTGAGACTACGCTACCTGATGCTGCCGTGTGTTCTCCTTTGCAACTCATGGATATTGATATTTTGATGGCGCAATCAAAATTTTGTCATTAAGTCTTTGCTGGAGAATGACGTCATCTTTCACACTTTTCCTTCTCATTTTAAGATGGCTGTAGCTACATGTATGGGGCTCAAACCATCACAAGATTGACATACGTAACATAACTAGGCTTGAGTCGGTACGGTCGATCACACCGGGACCCGACCGTTGCCGTCGGGTCCCGGTTTCGTTTTTTGAGAACCGGCGCTCCGAAAAAAATAATGAAATATGTAAGAAATTGCAGTTTTGCACACCACTAAAATCAATCCACCCTAAAACTTAAGTATTTAATTGTTACCAATCGTATTCTAGCTCATCCAGAATCAATCCGAACTGCTGATATAAATATGGGTTGCAAAGCAGTTCGCCCCATGGGGTTGTTGTTGCCAGCTGCTAGCTAGCTATTGTACTGGCCGGGTCTCTCGGCAGAATTAATAAATCAGGTTGAAAGAAACATTAATGTTTGAATAATAAAACGACTTTCTAAAAAGTACTTCTTTACAACATACCGATCGAATAATTTTTAAAAGACAAAATATATATTTTTTCTTTGATTTTGAACACCGCATGCTTCTTTTAAAAGCTGAAAATGACTTGGTAATCACAAGAAGTTTCGATACGGATAGCTGTTGCAATGCAAGTTCAGACTAGTCTCGGAAAAATGCGCAGTGCTCCTTGTTAGCTATAATGCGTGCCAGAACAAACCCAAACAAAGACGTGATCGTAACGAGAAAAAAATCATTAAAAACTACGAGAACACAATTGGAAAGACAACTACTCAAAATTATCGTAAGCAGATACATAACTTGGAGGAAGAATACAATAGTTGTCCAAGAAAAGCCACATAAATAGTGATATTTAATGAGTTACTATAGGTACAATCATTATCGGAAGGGCCTGCTGCAATATATCTAAACGTGTTTAAATTGAACACGAGGCAAATACCGCCCTCTACGGTAAAAAGCAGTATAACAAAGGATTCGAGTATTTGCAGCAGGCCCCTTGCGATAAAAATGCACCCAGTTACTCCTCGATTATCACAATTTCTGTGGCATTTCTTGGGCGATTATTGACTTCTTTGTCCAAGTTATGTATCTGATTATGGTAATTTTGAGCAGCATATCTTTCCAATTGTGCTCTCGTAGTTTTTAATGATTTTTTTCACTTTACGATCACGTCTTTGTTTGGGTTCGTTCTGGCACGCATTACAGATAACGAGGAGCACTGCGCATTTTCCGAGACTAGTCTGAACTTGCCTTGCAACAGCTATTCGTATCGAAACTTCTTGTGATTACCAAGTAATTTTCAGCTTTTAAAAGAAGCATGCGGTGTTCAAAATCGATGTTTAAAATAAGAGATAAATATTTATTTTTGTCTTTAAAATATTATATGATCGGTATATTGTACAGAAGAATTTTTTAGAAAGCCGTTTTATTATTCTAACATTCATATTTTTTGACCAGATTTATTCAACCTGCATAAATCAAAATGGCGGCTCGATTGTAGTCTTTATATTTTTGCTCGAGTTTTTTTACTTTTAGAGGCACGATAATGGCACTAAACATCGCCAATCATGGATGAATATAATGTCAAATGGAAGAATATACCAATCTGTGCCGAGGTATGCATGTGTTGATTTATTTGACTGATAAAAATGTCACTTTTAAGGGACATACTGATGATATGCGCTTTTTATAGAGGCAAGTGACAAATCCTGCGAGCTGATTTCGGGACACCGGGTCCCGACCGGTGCAAGGCCGTCGGGACCCGGTTTATGAAAATCCCGACATGACTCAGGCCTAAACATAACACAACATTGTCTTCTAATATAATCTTCTAATGTCCATTTCGTAAAAATCTGTATTTAAAAAGATATCATCTTTTTTGTTTATATTTTCTATTGTTACACTGTAGAAGTGACATTTATTGACATCTGATATGTTAATCGCTATCAAAAGTTCTTTGACTAAAGTTAGATTCCATATTTATAGGGTCTACCTGTTGCTAATTAGAAGGATTTTAGTTATCAAACCACCGTACCATCTAAGTTTTTCATCTATGTTTCTGTGTGCGTGTCATATTCCTTCCCCAACGACAATCATTGGATTCAAATCTGTCAAAATCTGCAAGATCGTCAACAAATGGTGGCAATTAAAATTTAATAGATGGAAAAGTCAACGGAAAGACAGTCAATAGGCCTAGATCTACTCAATACTCGTCTACTAATAGAAATCAGGACGTAGATAGGAAGAAAAAGGATTAAGAGTCCAGAATGGTACAACGAATCGTCTTCAT